CGCTCCTGGCTCAGGCGCTGCTGCAGGAGGTCCCAGGCTTTCTCCACCTGCCAGAGAACCCACACGGGGCAGCACCTCAGAGCCCATGGCCAAGCTGGGGATGAGGCGAGTGGCACCATGGCACGGGCAGGAGCATCACACAAGGGTCTCACGCTTCCTGTCCCTTCCCTGCTGCGTTTACATCCCCAAATTCGTCCCTTGTGGCCACGCTCAGAGGCAGCCTCGATGGTGGCTGGCATGCCCAGGCACACCATGGGTGACCCGGGCACAGCACTGAGCCCTCCAGCCCCCGTCAGAGTCACCCGCCTCCCCCTTCGCCACCTGGGACAGCCCCCAGTGCTGCAGCCAGCCTTGGGCTCACCTGCTTGCGGGTGACGTCCGTCTCCCAGAGCGTGCACAGCACCACCTGCGACTGCTCCACCCTTTGGCTGTTGGTCATCTGGCTCTGCAGCCGGCTGCGAGCAGCCTCCTCGCTCAGCCCGTCCCTGGCCATGACGCGCTTCACAGCCTGGCAGGACCAGAGGGGACACTCAGGAGCTTGGAGGGGAAGCTGAGAACCAGCCCCGGCAGCAAGCGATGGGCCGGGGGGGCATCGCCCACCTCCTCCTCTGGAATGATGGCCGTCCACACCTCATGGACCATGTCTTGCCAGCCAGCCTCCAGCAGTACGGCAGCATCCAGCACGCACACGGCCTTTCCTAGGGAACGAGGCCATTCCTCATTACCTGGCAATCGCAAGGCAGCGCGACTGCTCCTCGGGGTCCAACCCAGCCAGTCCACTTACACACGCAGACTCAGGCCTTCCTGCAAACTGGCAGCACAAACGCTTTACTGCTGAGCTAAAGAACCTCGTGTGGAACGGAGAGCAGCAGGCAGAGACTGTGTTTGCTTAAAGGGCGCCCCTGGCACGGCACGTTTCCCAGGCACGGCAAGCCAATGCCTCCAGCCGAATGCCTACTGAGCTACCAACGGCGTCTCCCAAGAACTGGAAAAATTCTGCTCCCAGAAGGAACGCACGCCACGCTCACTGCTGGAGCACTACACCAAAACCGGACTTGAAGTCACGTGGGAAAGAGAAAGCAACCTGCACCCTCCTGCAGAGTAGGAAGCTTGAGGTGAGCCCGTCCCAGCTGCCAGCCCAGCGGAGTGGAGGGGTTTGCTCTGAGATGTGCTAGTGAAAATCCCCGGCAAGCTGCCCAAGCAGAGAAGCGGGGGATCTGAGCATGGAAAATACTCACAGTGCTGCCAAAAGCAGCAGATTCCTGGGGGCTCTGGGTCGTGGTGTGCTGCACAAGACCATGCACCCAACTCCCACCTTTGTGCTGCAATGGGAGCCGCCCCAGTTACCTTGAGCATCTGCCTCCCTGATCTGCTCCTTGACCATCTGGGCCATTTCAGGCCACACAATGTCCGTAAGACTCTTCAGCCGCTCCTAGAAAGGACCACGACGGGATTCGGTTAATTGCCCTCAGAACCCCTGGCCAGCCAACAAGGGGATCGCTGGTGGCAGCAGCGGTCACAGAGGGCACCCAGAAAAAACCTGCAAAAGCACGGGGCAAGGACCCGGCCCATCGCCTGCTCGCTAAGCGCAGGGAAGGAGAGCTCCACGCTGGCCAGAGGCTCCCACGCCCGCTGAGGGGGTCGGGGCTCTTTTCCCCATTATTTTCCTTGCCCTGCCAGGCACAGCAGAACCTCAGTCTCTGCTGTGAGAGGCGCTTCCAAAGACCCTCCCCGCAGCACAGTGAGCTCCCCATGCAGCAGCACCCACGTAGAGACCCATCCATCTCGGGGGAACCCTTGAGCTGCCTCCACGCTTGGGCTGGGGCAGCCAAGAGGACGCGAGCGAAGGGCCGAGCACTGGCCTGGCCAAGAAAGCCAGATGCGGAGGGTCAACTTTGGCTGCCATGTCACCGAGCCTCTCTGGGTACGAGCCCAAACCACGCAAGGGTCAGGGAGAACTGGCTCTGCGTACGTCAGGGCTGTTGCTCCACGCTGGGTGAAGGACAAGCATGGGACAGAGGGGACAGGGATGGGGACAGGGAGGCAGCAGCAGCTGCCAGGGTGAGAGGAGTGTGTCCAGCATGGCTGCTGACTTGGCTACAGAGACAGGACCTCTGTGTCCTGCCCTGTCTGTACGTCACTGCCAGAAAGTACAGTCAGGAAGGCGTCATCAGCTCAAAGGGCTGAAAAATAAAAAGCTTCAGCACATACGGAGAGCTCCCTGCTCATGAGATTAAATATTGACAGTCTCTGTGCTGCTCTTACCTGGTTTCCAAACACTTTGGCCCCAAGGACTTTCCTGTTAATCGTCCCATCTTCGTTCAAGATTTCTGCAAGACAGAACCAGAACAGGCTTGGGAGGAATGAATCCCACTCGCTTCCCTGTGGCAAGCCTAGGTCAGAGTGAAACGATTTCAGCGCGGGGCTCTCAAAGGGACCCAGAAAGGAGCTGTAGGACCTGACCTGGCACCTCTTCACCTTACTCCAGAAAAGGACAGGGAAGAGCTTTCCCTAGACAAATGGCAGCCTGCTTTAGCCTTCCGCACCAGCCAGTTCACTGCAGCTCTGACACGGGACACGCAAGACTTGGGCAAAGCAGTGGTTTGCCCTGCTCAGGGTATCACCGAATCAGCCTCACAGCACCAGTGGGTGGAGCGGAGCCCAAAACCCACGGGGATGGAGGGGAGTGCAGGCCAGGACGGCTCCCTGGGACGCTAGGACGATGGCACACGCCTCCCTCCTCTTCCTCCTCCCAGTCTTCCCCACAGCCTTCGGTGGCTCTACCTGCCCCAAAAGCCGCCACCACCCGCTCGTAGGCAGGGCCACCGGGGACATAGACAGCATGGCCCAGCTTGTCCGCGTCGATGAGGAACGCTCCCAGGTGCCCCAGGAGTTTGGCAATGGAGGTTTTCCCACTCCCGGTTCCTCCAGTCAAGCCGATCACATACGGGCGTGAAGGCAAGGCAGGGTCTTGCTAAGGGAAGAAGGAAAGCCCTTGTCAGCAGATGGAGAACGCGGGCTCTGGTGGAGAAGGATCCCGACCACCCAGCCTGGAGCCAGACATGAAGGGTCCTGGTCCTGCCGGGGGCTGGTACAGGCAGCAGGCCGTTTGTCCCCCAAAACTTGTCCCCTGCGGCAGGGGGATGGGCTGGCTCTCCAGCTCCCGTCGCTGCCACCCCTCCTCCTGGGCACACTGTTCCCACCATGGCCTGTGGCTCTCCAAGCGCCTCCCCTCACCCGTGGGGGCTGCAGCAGCGTCCCCAGCAGTCTCTGCCGGAGGCTGGAGGAGCTGATCTTCTCCTCCTCGTGCTGACTGTGGTCGGGGTCCTTCATCAACAGGATCTCGTAGAGAGCCAGCTCGGGGAGCCCCTGCCAAGAGAAGGGAGCCCCAAGGGCTGTGAGCTCCGGGGACGCAGCAGAAGGAAGGGGGCTCAGCGGGAGGTCAAGGCCTGAACGAAGTAGCACAAACGAGGCCATGGCTGCCCCCAGTGTCCTCACAGGGCAGCTCTGTCCCCACACGGGGCACGTTCCTGGCAGCCAAGAGGGGAAGGGAGCCCACAGATCTGCCCGTCTGACCCCAACCTTCCACGCGTGCGTGGCTGGCAGTGCTGCCTGAGGTCATGCTGCGTGCAGAGGCTGCACCACCCTTGGGCCACGCAGGGGCAGCTTGGTGCAAAGCACCCGTCTGCGGGGTACTGGCAGACACACGCACTTGCGTCCTGCCTTCAAGCCCGTGCCGT